ACACACACACACACACACACACACACACACACACACACACACAGGTAGATTATCTCCCTTCAGCAAACACACCCACTCACTTGCACAGTGCATAGTCTTTATGAGTTATGATTCTGGCTCCCTACAGTTTAGTCTTTTTACTGCAGAAGAATGTGTATTTACAAGGCATTGCACAGAGGGTGAAAAATGCTTCCTAAAACATTAACACGAAAACAGAGCTAAAATGAAGCAGTGCTTACAATGTAAAATGCTAATGTGGCAGACAGTTTCTTAAAGTGTATATACACACACACACACAAACACACACACACAGTAGCCATATTTGAATACAGTGTCAGTGAGCGACATCTCTGTTTTGACTAATTGCATTTTACTTATGTGACAAGAGATCGGCCCCATGCAAATATCACCAAAGGTGGAAGAGAAAAGATATTATAGGCGCTGATGTAAAATGTCTGTTTTAACCAAAAAAATATGAAAACAAAAAACGCAAAGGAAAGACACAACACCAGCAGCATCTTAATAAAATGTCATCCTCATCCTCCTCACCGCAAGCCTCATCTCGTGAACTCAAGTCAAAACTCGAACACACAGACACACATAAACATACCTATTTATTCCTGATGATGTTGCAGTTATTTATTGTCACCAGAATAGACATGCTATGAGAGCTTGCATTACACCAGCTAATGTTAGGATTTTGTGTCCTAAAAATCACACTTTGTTAACAGTTTGATTGCATTCTTACATCATATCAGGGTGTAGTCACTAAGGACTGTGACAATAACTACAATTTAAAATGTATATTTGCTGTTTAACTTACTTTCTGTACAGCACTTTGTTCCTGTGCTGGGTATTTTAAAGTGCTTTATAAATAAAATTGGATTGGATTGGATATATCTCTGGAGGTCTCCACCGGGTTGGTTAACTTTTCAGTTACTGATAAGTCTACCTACGTCTGACAATTTCAATAAATCTGTTTCCAGTAGCGATTCCCTGGCTGCAGCTGATAGCAGGGGTACTCTGCTCCTGCCCTCTGCCTCTGAACCTTTGAAAGTCCTGAAAGCCAAAAAAAACCCTTTCATGCTAAATATTAGGTCCGAGTCAAACAAAACTTTCCAACAATGCTTTATCATTGCCAGTTGTCATTTAAAACCAGCCTATTCTTGTGACTTGTAGCCATAGGGTGCAAACAGTCCTTATTTGCTGTTGTTATATTTTTGAATAACATTCTACTATACTAACTAGTAACATGTGAAAAAACTATTCTGTTTTGGAGGGGTTGTCTTGTTATTACCTTTCCAGTGCATCTTTTGTTACTGTGATTTGGACCAAATCAGGTGAATTGGATTCATAATGTTACTTTGCAAATCTGGGAAAGGACTCATGAACAACGTGGAAATCAGTTAATAAAAAAATAATCCAGACATTTAGTCCAGAGCTGCATTTCTGTACCTATTAGTGCTGGTTGCAATGTGAATGGTAAATTAACCTTGCCAATGGGGCCACATATTATGTGACTGTGTGTGACTCACTACTAACATTAATGGCTCTTGGAGGATGGGCTTTGCTAGACACTAAACTGACAGGAGACCAAATACTGGCATGCATTTAGCATTTCTGCTCTGCTAATTAGTTTCCCCTTGATCCCACTTGCTCATGTCCTTTGTTGCCTAAAGTGTTCTTAACCTTCATGTTTTGTGTGTCTGTTAGGCTCTGGACCTCCTGCAGACCAGACAGTGGTCATTGAAGAGTTTCGCTACCTGTCTCAGAAGCTCTTTGTGTCTGTGTCTGTCTTCGCTGGGTTGGGAATCCTTCTGGGAATTGTCTGCCTCACTTTCAATATTTACAACAGCAACGTCAGGTACAAAAACTCAACTCTACTTTCACTTTGTACTAATTATATAAACAATAGAGCAAATACATTTTTTGTTATGCAAGAGGCGAGATACTACCCACGCAAGAGCTATGCAGAAATGGTGATGCTGAGGAAGAACCAAAACATTTAGAAAGCTTTTTGAGTCATTTGAAACAAGTAAACAAGGACTGACTGAGAGTTACTTTGTTGGCTTTTGAGCTGCAGTAAAAATAAATCAGCTAAATCTTTTGTTAATATTCTATGATATGACACAAATTAAATGTCATATCATAGAATATTCTATAAGTACTCTACAAGTAGTCATAGAAAGGGTAACATCATTGGAGACAGTGTGCATTGTGTTGCAAAGAATCATTTTCGCTGTCTGTGTCAGCATTTAGTTCAAACCTTTATGAGGTTTCGTTACTGCTCAAAGCACCAGAGGGTTCACTTTTTATTGACTATGAGTATTCTAGTGGAATACATCACAAATTCCACTGAAGGCCATGCATTCTTTGGTTTGTGGTGAAATGCATTTTAAAAGTAATCATACTTGCTTCTTTAAAATAACTGTTGGTGCTGTTGCTCCAGGTACATTCAGAACTCTCAGCCCTACCTTAACAACATGACAGCAGTAGGCTGCATGATGTCTCTGGCTGCTGTCTTTCCTCTGGGTATTGATGGCCTTCATGTCCACAGGAAGCAGTTTCCTATCATCTGCCAGGTACACTTTTAAAGTTGCATCTAACACAATGATTTAGCTAAAGACTTTTAACACTGATGATTAATTTCCTAGTGCTAATTAGAATTATCGTTCTTTACTGAACGGCAACTACAAAATTCAGAAAATGAGTGGCAGGTGGTTAACACAGGACAGCAGGAGTGGAGCAGAGCAGGTTAGCATGGTAAGGCATAGGCTGACAATCAGAAATAGGGCTGGGCGATATGGCCTAAAATCCATATCACGGTATAATTTGGAGCATGTGCGGTAACGATATATATCGCGATATATTATTTTCTTCTGTATAACGTATTTTCCACACTTAAAATCCTTTAATTTTCTCAAAAATCGAGAGTGTGCCTTATGTATGAATTTTGGTTGTGCTTACTGACCTCGAACCAATCTGTTAAAATCTGTTAAAAAATGTTTTAATACAACTTTGGTAAGCCGCACTGCTTGATGGATTGTCAGAGCATTACGGCTGCCGTAGTGAGAAGCTTCGCGGAGTAATCTGGGTCCAAAACTCCTTCCGCTTCAAGTCCCAAAGTCAAACGAACACTGAGACTTAAAAATGGAGTTAGAAGTTAACAGGAAGTTAGCTCGCTAGTTTCCACCGAAACATGACATACCATGTTCTGACTGAGAGATTTTTGAAACTAATTAAAATGTACAGCTCTGCTACCACTTCCAATATAAATGAAGACAGAAAACTAAACAGCAGTGGCGTTTGCAGGGTTACTGAAGTTCGACTACCTGGTATATAATGTTGTGCTACGTGATTGCTAGCGACACAGCTATGTTAGCATAACATTAGCACAGTGAAGCTGGAGGATGAACGGCAACTTTTTTTCCACTCGATAAAAGTTAACGTGAGGGATTCTGGTGGTCAGGGACAAATGCAATCGCATAGCAGGATGCTATACACGGGCCAAACGTCAGTCAGGAGAACAACTGAGATTATTCATCCACAATACAAGGTTAGTTATTAATATACTGCAACAACATGGGAATAGAACAGCTGCAAGAGAATTCAACATTAATGAATCAATGTTACGGAAATGGAGGAAGCGCAGTTTTTGGCTTTTCCCATATTTCTAAAGTGCTTCATCTCTTTGCTATGACTGTCGACTGGCATAATTTGCAGATGATAATGGTTGTAACCGCTGCGATGCTTTCGACCAAACAGGCGCAGCTTGATGACATCATCAACATGCGCTATCGCGGTAGAGCGGTATAGTCAAAATCTCTATCGTTGGCCAAATTTATATCATTTCTATCGTATATCGTTTATATCGCCCACCCCTAATCAGAAGGCAGACAGAGTAACAGTAAGTTTGTCAATGGGAAACTGAAGCAGAAGTAGCTAGGAGAGACACAACTATGACGGCTAAGACAATATGGTGGTGCCCTCCTGTACCATCCAGGGCTTGATGAGGTTATTCAGAGCAGGTGGGAGGACAACTCAAGCAGAAGGATTCGGCCAATAGGTTGACCCTAGGAACCCAGAACTCCACCTAAAAAGTGAAAGATTCTCATAAGAAGTGAGAGAGGAACAGAAAAAAAATAGCATACCCAGATCATGACACCAGTTAGACTTGGAAGTAGAGCAGGGCGATATGACCAAAAATATTTATCACGATATACATTTGAAAATTTGCGATAACGATATAACTGACGATATAATTGGCACTAGAAAAATTACTTTACAACTCCACAACTTTATTAGTGCAAAAAACCCATCAATGTATTTTCACTTAAACAAGCAGCTGTTTTTTATGTGCATTAAAGTTATATAAAAATGTAACAGTGCAAATGCAAATTCCTCGCTGACAGTTTAACCAAAAGGCATTTCCAGTGGAAATTGGCCGACATATCCTCAGCATAACCATGTAAAATATCCACAAAACTTAAAAAGAGGTTAAACACACAATACGGTAACATTATGTTGAAGCACAGTACGTATCACTCCGCGAGGCTCCGCCTACGATAGCCGTGATGCTCCGACAATCCATCAAGCAGTGCGGCTTCGTAGCTCAGCAAAGTCGTACTAAAACATTTGACAGATTTTCGAGCGCCGTGTACATAAAATCGTTTCCAGGTCAGTAAACACAACCAGAATTCATACATAAGGCACACGGGGTTATAAGGGGCTCTGTCGACTTTCAGAAAAATCAAAGGGTTGATTTTAAGTGTGCCGTATTTTCCAAACAACACAGTAATAACGACGGCCCGCTAGCATGCTCTACCAAAAATAGTGCTTTGTTGTGTATCTGACGGACAAAAGCTAAACCAGTTCCACACCACTGAAGTTGCAGCATTTTTACAAACCAGTTCTGCTTCATCCGTTTCATTCAACGATCCACTTTCGCTCTCCTGATTCTGCGTCGCCGCCATGTGCGTATGTAAACAAAGGCACTGCTCTTGCGCGTTTTACCCATATTCTATCGCGATATTTCATTTTCCTATCGTTGCCCAAAATTACACCGGTATTACCGTGAACGGTATGATATAGCCCAGCCCTACTTGGAAGTATTGTTGTATAAATGAATTGGCCTTGACAAATTCTGTATCAACGGGACAAAAAGATAAAATAATATTTTGGGTGCAGTGCATACATATAACAGAATAGCTTTAGTGTTTGTTTTTAACTTGAGTATGAACTTATACAAAATAGCAGCAAGATATTTAAAAAAACAGTTTTGTTGATTAAAACACTATATCGGATTCATATCAGGTATCGGCAGATATCCAAATTTATGATATCGGTATCGGTATCGGACATAAAAAAGTGGTATCGTGCCATCTCTATTTCCATCCTTTTCTTGACCTTTTCATAAAATGAAACTTTATTTTCTAATGAAAATGTCACAATGGACCGAACAGACTCAGGCG